ATGTGAGGTCATACATTTTGGTAGAAACAACAGTGGCATGGACTATTTTTAAATGGGGAAAGACTTTGGAAATCTGAAGTGCAAAGACACTTGGGAATCCTAGTTCAGAATTCTCTTAAGGTTAACATGCAGGTTCGGTTGGCAGTTAGGAATGCAAATGCATTCACTTTAAGAGGGCTAGAATACAAGAGCAGAGATGTACTGCTGAGGTTGTATAAGGCTGTGGTCAAACTGCATTTGGAACATTCTGAGCTGTTTTGGGCTTCATATTTAATGAAAGATGTGCTGGTATTGGAGGGGTCCGGAGGAGGTTTACAAGAATGATCTTGTGGATAAAAGCCTTGTCATATGAGGAGCAGTTGAGGTCTCTGGGTCTGTACTCGACAGAGTTTAGAAGGATGAGGGAAGACTCTGACTGAATTACTGAGCGGCCTGGATAGAGTGGATGTGGAGAAGATGTTTCCATTAGTGACTAGGACCTGTTGGGCATACCCTCAGGGCAAAAGGACAACACTTTAGAACTGAGATGTGGAGGAATTTCTGCAGCCAGCGGGTGTTGACTCTGTGGAACTCTTTGAACAGAGGCTTGTGGAGGCCAAGTCATTGAATGTATCGGAAAAGACAGGACAATGGGGTGGAGAAACATATCAGTCATGATCGAATGGCAGAGCAGACTTGATGGGCTGAATGGCCTAATTCTGCTCATCAGTCTTCCGGTCTTATGTAATCATAATGTCACTGGTATACACATGCATCAGTCATGTATGAAATAAGATGGCAGCGGAATAGAACACTTCAGGCAAAGCTTGTCCCCTCCATCCAATTCCTTTTCTTTTTTTCACTCTTTTTTTCCTTCTGTTTTGTGTTTTCATTTCCTTCTTCTCTCTTCTCTCTTCTCCTGGCATGGATTCCCTGCCTCCTGACTCAATGCAGACCCGGCGAGGCGGCCTCCCAGCTTCGCGAGACAACTTCCTGGCCTGGCATGGCCCCCCCAACCTCCAGCCTGACATGGTGGACCATCAACCTGGCATGGTGGACTCTCAGCCAGGCTTGGCAGTTTCTTGGCCCGGCGTAGCAGACTCTCGGCTCAGTTGGGAGGTCTCTTGGCCTGGAGTGGTGATCTCTCAGTGGCTCAAAATAGCAGTCTCTCAACCTGGCATGGTGGACTTTCTGTGGTACATGGCAGTCTCTTGGCATGACCTCAGCCGGCTTCCAGTCTTAAGGTGATTCTTGGCAGTGCGTTCCCACCGTGGCTAAGAACTTAAAAAAAGACTGTAATGTCTGAACTTTGAACTTTATTTCTTTTGTTACTTAAACCTAAGAAGGTCTGTAATGTGTAACTTTTAACCTTATTTAGTATGTTTTATGCTATACTATAAATACTGCAATATTTAACTTTTTACTTTGTTCTTTCTTTCGACCTTGTTCTTTAGATTCTCACACTTAGGTACTTGTGCCTAAGATGGCGCCTTGTGTGGCGAAATTACACTTTTCACTATACTCCTATACTGGAGTACATGTGACAATAAAATCAAAATAACCCGTAATCTCAGTCTAACATTCTGGACACGATTGTAGTTAGTGAAATTTTAATTCAACTTCTTGAAAAAACTGGAATTAAAAGCCAGCCTAATGGTGAACATGTAGCCATCACTGAAAGAAAAATCTGGTTCATTAATATCCTTTAGAGAAGGAAATGTGCCATTTTTACTTCATCTGGCCTACCAAATCCAAAGCAATGCTATTGACTCTTAATCCATTTTCTGAAATGGCCTGGTATGTCATCAAACTGCTACAGAGAATAAACAAAGGATGGAAACACTGTGGGTCCCCCTACACTCTATGCACTGCAGCAGTTCAAGAAGGCAGCTGAACACCACCTTCTCCAGGGCAATTAGAAATGGGCAATACATGCTGCTTAGCCAGTGATGCATGCATCCATAAATAAATTTAAAATTATTAGGAACATGATGCATGTAGTGCTTTCCCTCTTCTGTTGGTTTGTCTGTACCTGGCTGGTGCTGGTGGAAGGGATGATGAGCTTGAAGTGTCCACCTTACACTTGGTGTCTTACATGACCAGTGGGCACTACACAGTATAGACTGTATATACTAATCAGAGCGATCAACTGTCACGAAATAAAAAGTCCCTTCGACAGTGGTAACAGGTGGGAGGTGAGGTAGGAGGGAGGGGTACCTCTGAACTTAAGAGCAGAAGGGACGGAATAGGGAGGGTGTAAATGGGCATAAAGCTGTGGTTTCAGGCGACAAAGAAATGGGATGACGTTTAAAGTAACCAAAATTTACAACTTATCCTGCGGGGTCACAACACTATTAGCTCCCTGCTGGCTGTCTGCCAGACTTGAACTCCTGCTCAAACCATACAACTGAGGTTCCCAGGCTCAGCCTCCCAAAGATTGTCCCCAGATTATAGGATAACACGCATCCTCAAGGTACTTCGGATAAAAAGTCAAGGTAAGGGACAATCCTTAAACAGAGGACGGTTGGTCACTGTACCACCAATAAAAAAAAGTTCTGAAAAATAAATAGTGATATCTTGAAAAGTGTCCATATTACAGAGGAGGAGGTGCTGGACGTCTTAAAAAATATAAAGGTGGATAAATCCCCAGGACCTGATCAGGTTCACCCCAGAACTTTGTGGGAAGCCAGGAAAGTGATTGCTAGGCCCCTTGCTGAGATATTTGTATCATCAATGCTACAGGTGAGGTGCCAGAAGACTGGAGGTTGGCTAACGCAGTGCCATTATTTAAGAAAGGTGGTAAGGAAAAGCTAGGGAACTATAGACAAGTGGGCCTGACATCATTGGTGGGTAAAAACCAAAAGAACTGCGGATGCTGTAAATCAGGAACAAAAATAGAAATTACTGGAAAAGCTCAGCAGGTCTGGCAGCATTTGTGAAGAAAAAAATCAGAGTTAACATTTTGTTAACTGAGGAAGTTCTGAGGAAGGGTCACTGGACCCAAAACATTAACTCTGATTTTTTCTTCATCATTGGTGGGTAAGTTGTTGGAGGGGATTCTGAGGGAAGGATTTACATGCATTTGGAAAGGCAAGGACTGATTAGTTCAACATGGCTTTGTGCATAGGAAATTGTGTATCACAAACACGATTGAACTGTTTGAAGAAGTGACAAAAGATTGATGAGTGCGGTGTATATTGTCTATATAGGCTTCAGCAAGATGTTTGACAAGGTTCCGCATAGTAGGGTAGTTAGCAAGGTTGGATCACATGGCATACCAGGGAGAGCTAGATATTCAGATACAAAATTGGCTTGAAGGTGGGAAACAGAGGGTGGTGGCGGAGGATTGCTTTTTGGACTGGAGGCTCGTGACCAGCGGTGTGCCGCAGGGATCGGTGCTGGGTCCACTGCTTTTTAAAATCTATATAAATTATTTGCATGTGAATATGGGAGTTATGGTTAGTAAGTTTACATATGACACCAAAATTGGTGGTGTAGTGGACAGCAAAAAAGGTTATCTCAGAGTATAATGGGACCTTAATCAAATGGCCAATGGGCTGAGGAGTGGCAGATGGAGTTTAATTCAGATAAGTAAGGTGTTGTATTTTGGTAAGGCAAACCAGGGCAGGACTTATACACTGAATGGTAAGGTCCTTTGTGCACCACAAACAGACCTTGAGGTATAGGTTCAGAGTTACTTGAAAGTGGAGTTGCAGGTAGACAGGGTAGTGAAGAAGGCATTTGGTACACTTGCTTTTATTGGTCAGTGCATTGAGTATAGGAATTAGGAAGTCATGTTGCGGCTGTACAGAACATTGGTTAGGCGAATTTTGGAATACTGCATTCAATTCTGGTCTCTCTGCTATAGGAAAGATGTTGTGGAACTTGAAACTGTTCTGAAAAGATTTACAAGGAAGTTATCAGGGTCGGAGGGTTTGAGCTTTGGGGAGGGGCTGAACAGGCTGGGGTTATTTTCTCTGGAGTAACGGAACCTGAGGGGTGACCTTATAGAGATTTATAAAATCATGAGGGGCATGGATAGGATGAATGTCTTTTCCCCAGGGTAGGGAAGTCCAAAATTAGAGGGCATAGATTTAAGGTGAGAGGGTAAAGATTTAAAAGGAACTTAAGAAGCAACTTTTTTTACACAGGGGATGGTGTGTGTATGGAATGAAGTACTAAAGGAAGTGGTAGAGGCTGGTACAATTACAACATTTAAAAGTCATACATTTCGCCTGACGAAAAGGCTAAGTTCCGAAAGCTTTTGATTTCAGTTGGACTATAACCCAGTGCCATGTGACTGGGTCCACCCCAGTCCAACACTGTCATCTCCACATCTTGGCTAACATTTTAAAGGCACCTGGATCGGTATATGAATAGGATGGGTTTAGTGGGATATGGGCTAAATGCTGGCAAATGGGACTGGATTAATTTAGGATATCTGGTCAGCATGGACAAGTTGGACAAAAGGTCTGTTTCCATGATGCACATCTCTATGACTCATATTGGACTGGAAACGTTAATTAACTCTTCTCTCTCCATTGTTGCTGCCAGACCTGCTCAGTTTCTCTAGCACTTTTTGTTTATATTTCACACTTCCAACATGTGCAGCATTTTGCTTTCCTTTAAAAGAAACTGATATTGTTGATAAGGAGCGCTCTGGAGGCACAGTTATATTTGCATCACCTTAGTCTTGTCCCATATGCAAGGTGATCCAAAAGGGTGCTTTTTGATGATGAGGTAGACAAACAGAGCCTGGAAGAACACAGCAGGCCAGGTAGCAACTGGAGGAAAGGAACAGTCAACGTTTACCCTTCTTCAGGACTGATGATGACGGTGGGGACAGCTCTTTACGCCCACCTTCGTTGGTTCATGGAGTAAAGGTGCAGTTCTCTGAAATTTTGTTTCGTCCAGTCCTCCTTTTTTAAAGCGCGTTTTACTTAACGGCCAGTGCGTATCTGATCTTCGCTGCAAGCTAACGTCCGTGCACCCGACCATGTAATGCAGACTGTACCTTTACTGACTGCCTCAATCACGGCAGATGCTGAGCGGCTAAAGCTCGCGAGAGCTCTGTCCTCGCTCTGCGATTTGGCGCCAAAGCACGGTCACTATGGCGACGGGGAAGGAGGCGAAGAGCCGGAATCTTCCCTGGTAAGAGCGCGCACGCCCGCCCGAGCTCATTAAATACCCCGTGGGGCTGCGTTGACAAACACCAGCCGCCACCCGGAGTCAGCGGCCGCTGGGCTCGAGCGGCACGTTTGAAATGTAACGGGAACTGCGCGACGTTGCCGGCTCGTCCGGTTTTCCTCACGGAGGGAACTCAGGCTGGAGGGGCCTTGCTGCTCTCTTTCTCTCATTGTGTTCCCCTCCTCCCGTAGTATGGATGTGACTCCGGAGGTTTGGGTCTACTGTAACCCGCTGCCAGCCAAAGGCCTGCTCCCTTGTCGGGTTCGCAGACTCGGCACTTTGTGCTTGTTGATTATAATCCCTCGATAACACGCAGCAAATGTAATTTTTGCTTCTTTTTGAAACAAAAAGGACTTTATTCATAAAATTCGTAAAGGTATCCTCCATAACATTTCAAACTTCACTTGGATGTAATACGGTTCCGTTGCCGTCAATGCAATATATGACACTATATGGTATATACATATATTTACTGTGCACCAGAGAATGTTTGACATGAATTGCATTCAGCTGGAGAGTTCCAGCTTTCATTATACGATAGTGGGAGGACCTTAGATTGTAATCTTTCGCTGTTGAGGTTTTGAAGTGAATGTGTAAAGTTTTAGCCTGGGTCATTCAACACAGTGCTAGACCTTGGAATTTTCTAGTCTTCAACGTTGATATGGACAAATCCTACAGCTGAAAAACTGACAAGTTTTGGGCAGACCAATATTTTTATATATTGAATTAATGACCCTCTGGCAGCAACAGAAATAGGTTGTCAGAGAAGCTAGCAAGAGTGGGCCATTTGAATCTACTCCACAATTCAGTAGGATTGTGTCTTAATGCTCTATCTCAATGCCTTTTTTTGTTTTCTCCCCATACCCCTTGATGCTTTTAAAATCTAGAAATGTATCCATCTCTTGAACAAACTCAGTGATGTGGCCTTCTCAGCCTTCTGTGGTAGAGAATTCCACAAGTTCATTACCCTGTGAGTGAAAACATTTTTCCTCAACTCAAGTCCTAAATAGTCTATTTACCCTGTATCCAGAGACTGTGTCTTCTGGTTTAATCTAGAATTCGCCAGTCAGGGAAGACATACTCCCGGAATCCAGTCTGCCCAGCCCTGTTAGAATTTTATGTTTCAATCCAATTTCATCTCCCCTTTCTTTATAAACTCTTAGTGAATACAGACTCAGTCGAACCAGTCTCCTCATAGACAGACCTGCCATCCATGGTATCTGCCTAGTGAACTTCCACTGCTGTCCCTGCATGGTACGTGTATCCTTTGTTGGGTAGTGAGACCAAAACTGTTCACAATACTCCAAGTGTGGCCTCACCAAAGCCGGTATCACAGCGGTAAGACATCCTACTGAAACTAAATTCTCTTGCAATGAAGGCCAACATACCAGTAGCCTTCCTAATTGCTAGCTGCACCTCCCTGTCTACTTTCATTGACTGATGTGTAAGGACACACAGATCTCTTCGTACATCCCTGTTTCCTAATATAACACCATTTAAATAATATTTCTGGTTTTTTGTCACATTTAGCCATGTTGTTCTGCATCTCATTGAACTTGTCTAAATCACCTTGAAGTTTCCTTGGCACCTCCTCACATCTCTCAATCCCACCCAGTTTTGTGTCCTCAGCAAACCTGGAAATGTTGCATTTTGTCCTTCATTTATAGATATTGTGAATGGTTGGAGCCCAGGCACTGTTTCTTGCAGTACCCCACAAGTCTTTGCCTGCCACTTGGAAAAAGACCCACTTATTCCCATTCTGTTTCTTATCTATCAACTGATTCTTAATCCATGCTAATATATTGACCCCTATCCTATGTGCTATAACTTTGCCCAATAACCTCTTATGAGACACTTTATTGAAAGCCTTTTAAAAGTCCAAAGATCACATCCATTGGCTCCCCCTTATCTAATCTACTAATTACATCCTCAAAAATCTCCAGTAGATTTGTTAATCTCATTTATTAAGATTTGTCCGCTTGATTCCTAAGTCAAACTTGTTCATCTTGTCATTTTTGATGTTTTAGTGCTGTATTGTGAAATTGATTTTAAAGTTCACCTTCACCCCCACTCCAGAAAACAACTGCATAGAATGGCATTTCTTTCCCAAATGTTTGGGAATGGAGAGAGGGGGTGTAGGTAGATACTGAGCATTCACATCCATTCCTGGCTGCTATTACTCAAATTTGGGTTACCTGAAATATTACAACTGTACAGAATCAGAGAAATGTTAAAGCACAAAAAGAGGCTATTTGGTCCATTGCCACTGGCTGTCCAAATGAGCAATTTGTTCTTCTGCCTTCTCCTTGTGACGCCACTTTCAAGGAACTATATACCTGCATCCGTAGGTATCTCTGTTCAACAACACTCCCCAGGGCCTTGCCGTTAACAGTGTAAGTCCTGTCCTGTTGTCTTATTAAAATGCAGCAACTTACATTTATCTAAATTAAACTCCATCTGCCATTCCTTGTTACACTGGCCCAATTAATCAAGATCCCACTGTACTCTTCGGTAACCTTCCTCTTTGTCCATTACACCACCAATTTTGGTGTCGCCCACAAACTTGCTAACCATGCCTCCTATATTCTCATCTAAATCATTTATATAAATGGCAAACAACAACAGTGAACCTAGCATTGACGCTTGTGGCACGCCGCTGGTCACAGGCCTGCAGACTGAAAAACAACCCTCTACCATCGCTCTCTGTCTCCTACAGTCAAGCCAATTTTGTATCCAATTGGCTAGCTTTCCCTGGATCCCACGTGTTCTATCACCTATCTTGTTGAAGGTCTATCTAAAGTCCGTGTAGAAAATGTCTACTGCTCTGCCTTCATCTATCTTCTAGGTCACCTCTTCAAAAAACTCAATCAAGTTCACCCTGCTATCGGAAGGATGTCATTAAACTGAAAAAGGTGCAAAAATATTTGCCAAGATTGGAGGGTCTGAGTTATAAGGATAAACTGGGACATTTTTCCCTGAAACATAGGAGCCTAAGGGGTGACCTTACAGAGGTTTATAAAATCATTAGGGGCATACATAAGTTGAATAACCAAGGCCTTTTTCCCAGGGTAGGGGAATCCAAAACTACAGGGCATAGGTTTAAGGTGAGAGGAGAAGGATTTAAAAGGGACACAAGGGGCATTTTTTTCACACAGAGAGTGGTGCTTATATGGAACAAGCTGCCAGAGGAAGTGGTACGTCCAGGTACAGTTACAACATTTAAGTTACGTTTGGACAGGTGCATGAATAGGAAGGGATTAGAGGGGTATTGGCCAAGTGCAGGCAAATGGGACTAGTTCAGTTTAGGATACCTGATCAGCAAGGACAAGTTGAGCTGAAGGGTTTGTTTCCATGCTGTCTGACTATGACTCGCTTTGTTTAACTGATTTCTTTAAATCTGTGAACGTGTTTTCATTTCTACTAAGGTATTTAAACCTAAAATTTACTATCAATGTAAAACTAAAATTGTAGCAATTACAGGGCTAAGAGAGGGGTGAGGGTATCATTTGACCTACCATGCTTGTGCTGATGCCAATATTTTTGCTTTTTCCAAAAATTGACCATGTGGAATGATTTTTTTTCTCATCCATTTCCCTTCAGTTCTTATAGGTAGAATCTCAAGTTTATCACTTTTTGATAATAAGACCAAGGAGTGGGGCCTACCTTTCACAAGTTACTCTCTAAACCTTTCAAAACTTTGTAAATCTGTATTCAGCCTCACTTAAGCCTTTTCTGTTCTAGTGAAAAGAAAAGCTCCAAATTGGTTTGAGTCGTTCTTTAGAACTATAAATGTGAGTCAGTATGTTATTTGAGTGAATGTTCACTGCATTCTTGGAATGGCTTGAATGTCCTTCCTTTCATGGAGCGTCCAGAACTGCAAGCAACACTCTTGCTGTAGTCTAGCTAATGTTTTGTACACATTTAACTTCAGTTACAGTTAATGATCTTGTCTGTTAAGCACATCATCCCATTTACGTTTTCAGTAATCCTGCAAGAGGAAAACATGATAAAATGTCTGACCTAGCTGTCATAAATGTTCTAAAAACATTTATACTCAGCACATCTCGGAAACAAAATGTATTGCCATTTTATGTGGCTTCCTTGTAGTAATCTATGTTTGTGTTACCTGTAGTACTTCTTACAGATCAAGAGAATAACCTGCTAAAATTAATATTCTTACCTCACTACTGGGATTGTGTTTATGGATGAAAAGTCTGATATGTTGTGCCTTATAAATGTATGTACTTGCTGTTCTAACAGCTGCCATGGCACCTTCATTCTCCATCAGTCCATCATGCAGTTGCTGTTACTGTCACCACCAGTACTCCATAGTTTTTTGGTAAAATGGGGCTTCCTTGAAGAAATAGCTGCTCTCATTTTTATGTGATCCTGAGATGGTGGCACAGTGGTGCTACAAACAAAGCTATCTGCCCACAAGGGCCACCAAAAATCAGGGCTTCTGAAGATGTGGTTTCACTGCCTCGACTGATCAGATCTTGCCATGCAGAATGGTCATGGAAGTGTCTGTGCTTTGTGATGGTCTGCCGAAATCTGCATAATACAATCCTCCAGAGATGTATGGACCTTGCTAGTGGTACAGTCATTATTCAGGACACATTTTACGCTCAGGAGTACCAGGTATCCTCGGGCTACTCAGCTATGCCAGCTGGTGGTTGCATTTCCAAAGGCCGGTTATCTGGGTGTCATGGTGTACTCATCTTGCCAAAGAAAGGATGATAATATTCTCTACCAGTTCCAACCAGGCCTGCTTGGTTTGGCTGGGTAGCATTTTGCTGCCACTCTGGGCAGTATGCGTAAATTTTGGGGCATCATGCTGGAGGTGCCTAGCTTCTGCTTCTCCTTATGCCCAGTTCTACCTTCATTTGTGTTGCAAGATAATTGCCACTATACTGGCTGCCATTAGCCCTTTTGACTAGGGCCTGAAAGTTCAGCTTCCCAGGCCTGCCAGCGTTAACTAGCTGCTGAGCCAACCTCTTGGAAGATCACAGCCTATGATTACTAACCCCTCCCCTCCCCTCAGAATGGGGTTAGGACTCGGAGGTGGTAGCAACCAGTCCTGACCCAGAACCCAGATGGAAAGTCCTGCCCTTAATCTCTGACTTGAAATGTCTTTGAAACTTCTCTGATATCATTGAACTGTGTATGTGTGTGAACTTGTGTGTGTTCTACACAAGCCAGTGGTGGTCATCAGATAGTATGTCTGCCTGCTTCCTTGAGCTTTCCTGTCCTGTGATTTAGAATCCTCATGTACTGAAACTATTTTAAATATTTTAAATTAAAACATCCTTTCATCTTTTCTAGGGTGGAAAAGTATCGGCCTCAAACCCTAGATGATCTTATTTCTCATCAGGACATACTGAATACAAGTGAGTTGTTGCCTTCAACATAAGGTAGAAATTTGCTTTAAATTAAAAAATGAAAATATCTACAATAGGAGGGAAAAGAGTTGACGTTTCAGGTCAATATCTTTTCAGGAGAGCTCTTATTTCTATCTCTGCTCATGATACTTAACCTGCTGAGTATTTCCAGCATTTTCGGTTTTCTGTTTTTATTTCAGATTTGTAGTATATGCAGTCATGTTTGAAATTAGCTAATATGTTTCTGCCTAGGACAGAAAGAAGAACATTTTCTGCAACAACTACATATTTATTTGATTGGGATACTATATTGTTGTGTAAAGGAACATCAATTAAGCATTAATTTAACATTTAAGTAACAATGTGACAGAATATTTGTGGAGAAGTCTGATTTAATTGTACTTCTCTATTGGGGATTAAATTCAAATATATTATACTGCACTCCCTGAAAACATTTCCCTTATTAATTTAGCCTTGTGATTGCTGTAAAATTGTATGTAGTTTCCTTGCAAAGAGTTCAAATAATGTAGCAATTCTATACAATGCTTAATTAAATGTGTTGAAGATGTAACAGATATTTATGATGAGTTACTGAGCTTTGCAACAAACTAGTGGCATATAATTTCTGCTTCCTCATCACTTCCTATTGAGAGACTAAAAATGCTGTTTCCGTATACTCCAGTGCCAAGTATAGTCCAGGATATATCTGAAATTTGTCTGTTGCTAGGCTCTGTTTATATCTATACAGATATTCTCTTTCTTTTTACATTGCTTGAAGCTGTCTGTTTACAGTAGTAACCTCCAGGAAATTAAGTGTTTCCAAGTATTGCTGCTTCATTAACCCTCATCACTGAGTATTGATATACTTCACTGAGATATTAATAGGAATTTTTTTTTACCTTGCGCTTTGGAGCACTGAACTACAGATGAAAACTTTAAGACTGACAAACATCATGAGTTGAACAAAAGGTTCTAATATATAACAATAAATCATTTTAAGACTTTGATTAGATTCCACCAATGTGACCCCTCCTGTTTTTTTATTGTTTTGTGTGATATGTGGGCTCACTATTTTGAATTCCTCCTTGTGCCAGAAATCACCTTGTATCTTTTGATACTGATTTTGAATTACAAACAATATGCAAGTACAGCAAGTCATTAGAAAGCCTAATAGAATGTTATTGTTCGTTGTAAGGAACATTGAATATATAAGTAGGGAGATTATGCTTCAGTTATGCAGGGCACAGGTGAGACCATATCCAGAGTGTACAGTATTGATCTCCTTATTTGAGGAGGGATGTCAGTGCCTTGAAATCAGTTGGAGAAGGTTTACTAGACTAATACCTGGAATGAATGCTGTCTATTCTGGCTAGGCTTGTATCTGCTAGAGTTTAGACAAGAGGTGACTTGGTTGAAAAATGTAAGTTCGTAATGTGTCTTGACAGTTTGCATGTGGAAAGGATGTTTCATCTTATGGTAGAAACTAGATCACTGTTTAAAAATACGGGTTCATCCATTTAAGGCAGAAATATGGAGACTTTTCTCAGAGGATGATGAGTCTTTGGAACTCTTCCTCAATAGCAGGATTTTAATATTGTAATTTGAATATTTTTAAAGCAGAGGTAGATTCTTGATAGGCAATGAAAGGTTATCAGAGATTTACTAAAATGTGGAGTAATCAGATCAGCCATGATCTTACTTTAAAGCTGAACAGGCCGAAGGGACAGAAGGACCTATTGCTCCTAATTTGCATGATTGTACCCTGGTTTTGAATATTGGCAGAATGATCCTGCGGGGTCCGAAATGTTAATTCACTTCACAGGATTGAATTGAAGAAGAGAAGCTAACACGATGTAGGTGAAAAAATGGTAAGGTAATAGACTGTAGTCCAATGATACAATGTCAGGAAATTGTAAATTTGTCTGGAAATGAATTACATTTTTCCTTTTCAAGGTAAACATGATTTAAAAGTAGGTTTACATGGTTCTTAAGAGAATTTGCAGTACAAGAGACATGCAAAACTGCTGCTGTACAGTAAATAGTTTTGCTAAAATCTAAAAAAGACTTTAACGAGGAAAAAGTATATTCAGATATGTTCATAATGACAATCTAGAAATGAAACATTCAGGATATAATGTATGGGATAGGATTCCAATTATTCCTATTGCTGTTTCCTGCTTATTTTCTCCGCACTACTATATTCATTGCTGCACAAACAAAATGTCAAGTTGAAATTTGAGATATGTTTTGAATTCAGTCCTACGCCCCAAATTATCAACTTTGAAAGCTCTGTCGGTGAGAATTTTCTGAAAGGTCATTGGTAACATAAGCTTAATGTCACTTTTGGTGTCACAATTGTTGGGTATTGGTCATATTAAATGCACTTCTGCTGCTGCCTATTTATCTCACTGTCTTAAAAAAAGTTAAGTAATAGGTCAATAGGTAACTGATGCAATATGCGTTGTATTCAGTGCAATAATCATTAGTTCTGAACACATACATTTTCTTCATAAGTGAGATTAAAAAGTTGATCTTTTTTCCAGAATAGACATATTAACTAGTCTTTGGGGCTACAGACGTGATAGTCCCCTTCAATTTTTCACAGCTTCTTGCTATGAGTTACCAACAACTCTTCTCAGCATATCCTCCCCTTAACCTGGCACAAATTAGATTGAGAATTCAAACCAAGGTATTCGTATTGTCATTGTCACCCTGCTGCTGGTAAGCCTGCATTAGTGCTTGTACTCAAGCAATTTCTTTCTATAAGATAAGATAAACCATGACCTTGGCAAGGCAGGGGTTGGCGGTGTGCAACTCTTTAGCATCTCATTTACAGCTCCCGACCATTTCCTGTTGGATCACAGTAATGCGAAAAATGCCAAAAAGTAACTTAAGTAGAGTAAGAGCCGTAGTTTTATTGTGAGGATGAAAGGCTAATCACTATGCTGCACCTTACAATTTCAAATAATTATTTTAACAAAAACTTAACTGCCCTCGAAACAAACCTCTTTGGTATAGTTGAATCAGAGATAGTAGGAACTGCAGATGCTGGAGAATCCGAGATAACAAGGTGCAGGGCTGGATGAACACAGCAGGCCAAGCAGCATCATAGGAGCAGAGAGGCTGACGTTTC